GGAGAGAGAGAGAGAGAGAGAGAGAGAGAGAGAGAGAGAGAGAGAGAGAGAGAGAGAGAGAATAAAAACTTAATGGGAAATGTCATAAAGTCTTTTGGTCACACATACAGACAGTTGACATCATGGTTGACATACAATACTAAATTCAGACTGTTGCCGACCGTTGCCAACCGTTGCCGACTGTAGCCGACCGTCGCCGACGTCACTTTCAACCGAACCCTCGGCCAAGGCTATAACAATAAATATTAGCCTTGTATGATTTTGAAGATTCTTTTACATCTCGAAGCAAAGTCGCCTACCAAAGATCTTGTACTATTACATGTATACCAAATACATAGGAGCTTTGGTTATAATATAGAACCTTTAGCCTCTGGCACCCTATGATCTTGTTCGTTTTGATTTTTTTACTAGCCCCAGCACCCAATGGCGTCTCGTGGGGTGAGGCTTGCAGCTCCAGCCCCTCCTGGTTTTCTTCACCACAACGGTACTAAAAAATCAAAACAAAACAGTTCGCAATAATTAAGAGACAAAACATAACAATGTATTCCGTTTTTTTTTTTTAAAGCGGAACTGCTCCACGGGAGGCACAATAACTCGTAAAGTGATATACATGTAATTGGTCTGGGAGCCTGGTGCCCAGTGTTACGTTTATAATATATTATTATATACAGCTCTATCCAATTACTTAAGCTCCCCTTCCGTTAGGTAGAATTAAATTTCTTTTGTTTGTCCCTTAAGCCCACAGACTGAATATAATTGGAGTATTGACCTTACATGGCTCAAGGCCGAGATAAAGCAACTGATAATTCAATTATGCGCGGGGGCTGAAGCTGCACTGTGTCAGTGATTAGACACCACGTGCTAGACACCAAAGTTGCACGTCTCACGACTCCAGGCCTGAGCGTAACTGAGCACCCCCCCTTCCCCCAACATCTCCCACCCCCACCCCTTTTCTCCATCAACTCTCTGTGTCTGATGATGTCAATGGACTAAGATTGTGTGTGCACACTTGAATGAAGTTTTGATAGTGTTAACAAATCTCTTGTTTGCGTACGGTGTTTACTTGTGTTCTGTTCTGTGAGATCAGATTAACAACACAATGAAGAAAGCGCTGTTGCATAGTATCAATGAGTTGAGGTAGATCTAGTTTTAAACTGGAATCTAATGTTTGATTTTCAGTGCAGATATGTATCCTGAAGAATATTTGGAAATTCACTTTAGTTCTTTATTACGAGAAACTAGGTTCACTGTCAAAATACTAAGACCACATCAAACAACAGACTTTTCGTGCATGCAGTTGTAGATGGAAAGCAGGCGAAATATTAATTTTATTCATGAATGGTTGATGATGAAGGAAGCACCGGTCAAGTTCAACCATAACGTCATTGGAAAATATTTGCCCAACATAGAAACCGAAGGACACAAATCATGTACATGTAAAAAGACGCACATGTGA